ATCATTATTACTATTATTATTATTAAACAGAGTAGACTATGGGGTTAGGGTTAGGATAAGGTTTTGGGTAATGGGTACGGGTAGGGTATGCGTAGGGTAGGGGTAGGTGTAGGGGTAGGGTTAGGTCTTTTCTTTATTGAAATTGTTTGAGAGGTCGCTCGTTACGGAAAAACTTCTGAGGAATATTTTTACTCTGTCTCCGATTGTTTATTGTAGCTGTGAGGTTTAGTTGCTTGTGTGAATGTTATCTTTGGCCTTCATCCACACCTACCAGGACAAGATGTCTAAAGGATCGGGGTTTGTTTCTTCTTTTGTTTTATCTTTTATTATATGTTTTGTTTTGTTATTGTTTCTGTTTTGCTATTGTTGGATTGTTTTTGGTGTGTGTGTGTGTGTGTGTGTGTGTATGTGTGTGTGGGTTTTGTTGTGGGGTTTTTTGTTGGAAGTCCGCAACGCGCCGAACTGGCAAAATCTGCATGAAACAGCTGTAGCATAATAATAATAATAACATATTATATTAATGTCGTTTTTTCCCCTCCACGCCTGCATTGAATGACTGAATTCCCCGTGGTTTCTAAATGAAGCCAGGCTCGCGACTTGTTGACTTGACTTGCTGAATGTTACAACACGGCTGTCATGGCAAAGTCATGCTCAGATGGAGATGCACGGGGATTTTTGTATCTTCTTTTTGTTGTTGTTGTTGAAATGTCATGCAATAAAATATAGCGATTTTTAAGAGGAAAGTGACACTGTTTAGATATTGTTATCATTTGTTTTGATATAGCGTGCTATCATTGGATTTCTGTTATCATTTTCCAATGGTGCTATAGATCTACCTGCTGGAGGTAAAACGATGGGGGTAGATGTTTGACAAAATGGAAGAGGATATTTTGTGTCCGTTCACCTTTCATTTTTACTGTTAATCAGCAAAACATGTGGTTTCTTCGTAAACGTCTGTTAATGTTTTGCTTAAAGTTTGAATTTGTTTCTACAAGTAAACATGTTGTCAGACGAAACGATATATTGTACCTGTGAATAATTAACATTTTAATGTTGCTGTTGCTATTGTTGTTGTTGTTGTTGTTATTGTTGTTATTGTTTTTGTGGTTGTGGTTGTTGTTGTATTTATTGCTGTTAAAGTTGCTATTGTTATTGATGTTGTTGTCGATATTATCATTGTTTTTATTGTTGCTCTGTTGTTGTTGTTGTTGTTGTTAAGTTTTAATGATTTTGTTGTATTTTGTCTTGTGTTGTTGTTATATAATGCGATGTTTGTAGGGACGGGTAGGGATGGAAAGATTTTGGCTTTGTTTGGAAAATGCAATCTATAATCGTCATAAAAGAGCCTACTGGAGTTTTCCCTTAAAGAATTGCAGTCCCCTTTACAGAGACAGCATGAGAATAAAATAGATTGACGACAACAACGTTTCTTTTTTAAAAAGGGCCATTTTTTCCTAGTAAAATTAGGAAATAACATAGGGCCTGCTCAAAAATATTTCTTTAAAAAGTTCCAAAGATTTTTTTACAATACATTTATAGGCCTATTGTTTAATGTAAGGTACAAACCGGCAGCTTGATAAAGCCTTCTGTAGTAATCTCCCACAAACTGCACAGAACAAGAGGTAGATTTTTTTAAAAACAAGCACAACCACAACTGTTCCAGGACGAAAGTAGAAATCTAGTCCGAGAAAACGATCACAAGAAATGATGATCAAGTCATCCGAGTGGGCGAAACACTATCACAGTCCACACGGGTACTTTGTGGTCAATTATCCCAGCACTTCTCCGTGAAGGAACACGGGTTGAGAAACACAAAATGTAATCCAAGAACACGAGAAGAAAATTAATGAAGATCCTCTACTCCAAAAACAAAATGCGAAATTGAGAACGATCGAGAGTCACTCGCCCAGGCGGCAGGGAACGATCGACCCCACACTGCCAAGCCAAAACTTTTTACAACGGTGATTAGAGCTACTTTTCAACTGTTGAAACATCAAAAACGGCTTTCCTGATCCGTTGTGGGACATAGAACGAGGGGACGGGGCGACGGGGGCGGGCGGGAACGAGGGAGGGAGGGAGGGAGAGAGGGAGAGAGAGAGAGAGGGGAAGGTAGAGCGCGCGATTCGCGTCTCTCGCTTCTGCAACAGTGTCTGCCTGCCTGCCTCAGCCCTCGTCGCTTCTGCTTTCAGTTTGACGAGGTAGGTGGTAGTCGCGCGAAGAATGAATTCTCGCCTGGATTCCACTGGAACAGAATCGAACGTTGGCCTGGGCAAACTTACGCGCGCTTTTTTTTTGCTTTTTTTCACAAGTTGTTTTAGCAAGAGTTTTACGGCGCTCGCAACTGCATAAGGTCATATGACGGTAAAGGGGTGGATGTCAACGAAGAAGCCCAAACGGGGAATCAGGCTTACTCTGCTCACCTCTCTAGCCTCAACAGCCCAAAGTCTGCTTCGACTATCAAGGCACCCCAGAAATAGCAGTTCACAAGAGAGTGACAAACATACAAAAGAAGTAGAGGAAAATGACGTTAGTAAGGATGAGGAAAGAAAAAGCAGTTATTCCGGCACAGTATGAGCATGACATTGATAAATCAGCCCATTTACAATTCTACTGTGGATAAGAACATGTTAATATCCCCCCTTTGGAAATGGCCTAAAGACACTTCAGTCAGTAGCACTGCCGGGGGGAGGGGGGGGGGTCTTTTTCTTTAGACCGGGCGACACTTTTCGGAGTTGCGTTTATACGTTTGTTGAGAGTATTATTTTAATTTTATGTCCCAGGTTGGAGTTTAAAATAATTTCTTCTTTGTGTTAGATAGTGGCACTTGATGAATAATAAATAACGGATCAAATTATTATTATTATAGGCCTACTATCAACATACACAATAACGCCCACCCCAACTCTATCTCTCGCTAGTATTTTCTTTCTTTCTCTCTCTCTCCCCCCCCCCCTCTCTCTCTCTCCTACACACACACATACACATAATA